AGTGATATTTTTGCAAATACACTCATAACTTAAGTGGCATTCTTGCAAATGTACACACCAAAAATGTCATTTTTGCAATTACCCCAAGATTTTTGGCCCAATCTACATAGAATCAAAGAGGAGATGCTAGTCAATTAATATATATAGAGAAAAAGCCACACATCTAAGAATTGATGAACATCCAAATATTTATCCGGTTTTTGGATAACAATTTATAATCTTTTTGTTTTTTGTTTTGAGAAAAATATCATCCTCTTTTAAGATAAGTTATAAACGTATGAATAAAAGAGTTTTCCTTTGACCAACAAAAAAAAAAGAAAAAAAGAGTTTGAAAACAGCTTTAGAATGAAAGACAAAGAGTCCAAAAACAACTTTAGAATTTAACATGTACTACAAAAAAACTCTAAAAGAATTGAAGACAAACATACGATTTTGTTGTAAATGTTTTCTTGAAGCCGTTCCTTTTCAAATCCTTAAATACGGGTAATTAACAACGTAAGTCAAAATCAATGACGTGAAACACGATCTTTAATCATCCTGAAAGTCGAGTTTTATTGGTTGTAAGAAAATAATCACAATTATAAAATTTTATGTATCAATAAGTCTTGTAAGTTACGTATAATCTATCGGGTCCTCGTGATATTATAATTCACGTGAATGTTATTCAACCCCGTGATTTATTCTTAGCTTCATTTCCGGAGAGTAATTGTTGACTTTTTTACCTTTTTTAATTTTAGTATTGTGTGATATATAGAATGGGATGATTCTTGGTAACACCCTTACTAGAATAAAAGGCCTTAAACCAATCTTAATCTTTTCCGTTCTTGATTCAACAACCTCGATCAATTTCTCAACAGCTAGTGTTCATAAACTTATTAACAATATCTTGTTGATTATCGTTAATTACTGTCAATATTTTGATCAATAAAAAGGTTGTTCTATGCTGATAAAAAATAAAAGAATGTTCTATATATAAATTACGTGTTTTTCGTAGTTTCTTTAGGAATCAAATACCTTATGCCTAAATAATCATGAATTGTAACGAGTTTATACTTAGGTGGGAATACATTAACAAGATTAACACAACACACTAAATTACATTTTTGAAAACCCCTACCTGTTAGAAGGAGGAGAAAGAAAAAACATATTGAGGCTCTCGTTAGAAAATCATTAGATTAGTGGCTTGTTTCCTATGGTTTGATCTCATGTTTATATGAACTTTTTACAGTTTTCTTCTTATAGGAGGTTCAACGGTGATTCTCTCGGCTTTCAAGTGATTGGCCTATTCCCATCCATAATCGTTTTTATCGTTGGTGCTATGGTTAGGGCGACTTCCTTTTAACTTCCTTCACTTGAACCAACAAAAAACGAAATTTGATGTTTCTCGACTCCTTCAAAACCGAGTTCAGTCGATTTTATTACCAACATCACTGACACAAATAACCTTCAGCGGTTTCAAATTATTGAGATTTCATCTTGTCGTTCTCAAATAGTTTGAGATATCTAATTTCCGAAGTCTCCAAAAATCAAGCGTAGACGAGAAGACCATAAATCCAGTTAAAATGAACAATAATTTTTTTTGATGTATAAGTTGTAGTATATATCTATATATAATAGCAAATCCAAAAAAATGAATATTTTTATTATGTTTTCTCGGAAAACCATCTTGTATTTATAGGCTTATGTTAGAGTCAAGTTTTTTGGAAAAACCACATTATGGTTATTTTGAAGGGTTCTTCTCGGAAAAAACCGGTTTATGGTTATTTGCAAGAGTTGCATCTTTTCGTTAAAACCGTTTTGTCAAGAGTTGCGTCTTTTCGTTGTAACTTTTTTGTCAAGAGTTGTGTCTTTTCATTATAATTATTTTGTCAAAAGCTGCGTATTTTCGAAAATAACTGTTAAGTAGTTATTTTTCGAAGTAACCACTTTACGGTTATCGTTAAAAGTTGTGTCTTTTCAAAAAAATCGTTTAGCAGATATATATATATACGTTTTATTTTTTTCTACTTTTTTTCAAAAAAATCACATTATGGTTATTTTGAAGGATTGCATCTTCTCGAAAAACTGTTTTATGGTTTTTTGTAAGAATTGCATCTTTTCGTTAAAACCGTTTTGTCTAGAGTTGCGTTTTTTCGTTGTAACTTTTTTGTCAAGAATTGTGTATTTTCATTATCACTATTTTGTCAAAAATTGCATTTTTCGAAAATAACCATGAAGTAGTTATTTTTCGAAGTAACCGCTTTATAGTTATCGCTAAAAGTTGCATTTTTCAGAAAAATCGTTTAGCCTATATATATATATGCTTTAGTTTTTCTGTTTTCTAAACAAAATCGCATAATGGTTATTTTCAAGGGTTGCGTCTTTTCGACAAAAACCGCTTTATGGTTATTTGCAAGAGTTGTATCTTTTCGTTAAAACCACTTTGTCAGGAGTTGCGTCTTTTCGTTGTAACCTTTTTTGTCAAGAGTTGTATTTTTTTATTATAACTATTTTGTGAAAAGTTGTGTGTTTTCGAAAATAACCGTTAATTAGTTATTTTTCGAAATAACCACTTTATGGTTATTGCTAAGAGTTGTGTCTTTTGAGAAAAATTGTTTAGCTTCTATATATATGTTTTAGTTTTTCTGTATTTTTCAAAAAGTCACATTATGGTTATTTTGAAGCGTTGCATCTTCTCGGAAAAACCGCTTTATGGTTATTTGCAATAGTTTCATATTTTCGTTAAAACCGTTTTGTCTAGAGTTGCGTCTTTTCGTTGTAACTATTTTGTCAAGAATTGTGTCTTTTCATTATCACTATTTCGTCAAAAGTTACGTCTTTTCGAAAATAACCGTTTTTTGGTTTTCTTTAAGAGTTGCATCTTTTCAAAAATAAATATTTTTGGGTTGTGATTTTTCGTAAAAAACCGTTAAGTAGTTATTTTTTGAAGTAACCGCTTTATAGTTATCGTTAAAAGTTGCGTCTTTTCGGAAAAAACGTTTAGCCTATATATATATGTTTTAGTTTTTTCTCCCGGTGATCATTTTGTTAATTATGGCTATTGGTTCTATAACTCACTTAAAGTGTAAGATAGATAAAAAAGTCAATCTACTATTTTTAAATTATTTTATTAAAATATTTATCTTTTTACTATTTATGAAGTTCCTAACATTCTTGATTTATGTAAAGAATTTCTGATCTCTTTAAACAATGCAAATATTATTGCGTCTTTTAAAAAAAAACCGTTTGTTCTATATACCTGTGTTTTTAACTCTATCTATATTTTTTGTTGAATATTTTGTGTATTTTTATATGACTACTAATTTTAAGATTCACTTAAAGCATAACAATGATAAAAACGACATTCTATTATTTTAAAATTATTCAAAAGTATTTAATTTTTTTATTAATTGTAGAAATTCCTAAAATTATTGATTTTTGTAACAAATGTTGGAATTCTCTATTAAATGCAGAATTTATGGCTAAATTTTAAATTCTATGATGTTTTAATTAATGCATCATAGGGCTCCATTTTTAATAAAAAAAATATTTTTATGGTTATTAAAACATCTAAATGCTACGTCTTTTCGAAAATTAATTTTATGGTTATTAATGCATCATTGGGTTGCATTTTTTTGAAAATAGCATTTTATGGTTATTAAATCAACTAAGGCTTCCATCTTTTGAAAAAATTCATTTTATAGTTATTGATCCATCATATTCGTGTATTTTTTAAAAACCAGTTTTATGATTATTAAAACTATATAGAATTGCGTATTTTTGGGAAATCGGTTTTATTTTTATTAATAAATTCTATTATTACATCTTTTCATAAAACCGTTTTATGATTATAAAAGCATCTTAGGATTACTTATTTTTGAAAAGCCCAGTTTATGGTGATTAATGCATCATGCGATTCCGTATTTTCGAGAAATCTATTTTATGGTTATTAAAACATCTAAGGATTGCATTTTTTTGGAAAAATTTATGTTTGATGATTATGAATACATCAGAGGGTTACGTCTTTCTTTCAAATAAACTCGTTTATAGTTATTAAAGCATATAAAGGTTTCATTTTTCAATTAAATCTATTTTATGGTTATTAATCTATCATATGGTTGTGTCTTTTTGAAAACACTGTTTTATGGTTATTAAAGCAACAAAGTGTCGCGTCTTATGGTTGCATCTTAAATTTTTTTTATGGTTGTTAATGAATTTTAGGATTGCATCTTTTGGAAAAATAATTTTATGATTATTAAAACATCTTAGGATTGTGTCTTAAAAAAAACCATTTTAATGCAACATATGATTGCGTCTTCTCGGAAAAACTTGTTTTATGGTTATTAA